CCATATCAGGATTCAAAAAAAGAGCTTGAAAAACTCAAGAGAGATATTCCCAAATAATGAATCATACAAAAATCTCAGGAGAAATTTCACAGAGAGATACCCACACACAAAAAGCAAATATCATATAACAAAAACCCAAAAAGTAAAACGATTGACCTTATGAAATAAATATTGGTTACTACTGTGTGATAACCCCATGATCAAGATTTCTGAAAACTTTCATAATTACTGATTTTATGTAAACTAAAATAACAGGAACGAGTCAAATCAACCTATAACTTTACTGATTTATGGAAACTAGAGTAACAAAGAACGAACCAAATCAACCTAATCTTACCTGCTCAAATCAACGCCTTTGGCTCGTAAAATGTTTACTGTTGTACAATGTTTTAAAAAACGGTCCGCCTGGCACCTAGGTGGCCTGGACCAAAAATCCACTCGCCTAGACCCAAGTGGCCCTTCACGTGCGGATGTACTTGGGCGAGCGCCTGGGCAGGCCCCTTGGGCCGTAAGGCCTTTTTCTTGTTTTTAAACTGCCCAAAAGGGCAAAAAGGGTCATTTTGATCCCCAAAGTTGTATAAAAACGTTATGGGGTTTATTTTTAACCCCCAAAGTCCAGAAAGAGATACAAAAATGGGTAACTGGTTCAAGAAACATCTCATTGGTATCGGAGGGATGTTGCTCATTGTAAAAAGGATCCTTATGGGATTACAGAGAAGATTAAAGATTATATGAATTTAGTAAAAAAGAAAAAAGAGGAAAAAGATGCATGTATAGTAGAGCTAAGGTCTGCAGTTCGTGTTTATGATGATTATGAGGGTGATGAGGGGGGTGATGAGGTGGAGCAGCTTGTTATGTCTTAGTCTAGGAAAGGAAAGGAGTTGTTATTGGATGGGGGGGGGCTTAAGAGACCTTGGCTTAGGAGCCTATGGATATTTTTTTTACTCTGCCCGACCTTGAGGTTGCAATTGGGAAAACCAAAAAGCAAACAAGCATTGAAAATAGAACCAAGAAAGAGAGGATAGAGAGAATTGCTTAGTATATTACTCGGTAGTTTTGTGAGGCGGGCATTCTTTTCATTGCCGTACGTGTAAGCTGCTTCTACACCTTGATGGAGGCAATTGACCAATTTGGGCCTGGGTTGAAGTCCCAACCCCATATGAGCTTTCAAAAGAGGCGCAGGTCACGAAGGAGATTGTGGAGTTGCAGGATGCATGAGCTCAGTATAGGGAGTTTATTATGATTGACACTTGGAATGACAAGAAGGGAAGAAGTCTAATGAATTTGTTGGTGAGTTGTTCTTTAGGGATTGTTTTTTTAGGTTTTTTGATGCCTCAAATAATAGCCATGGTGCTATGTGCATATTTAAAATGCTTGATAAGGGCATCAAGGAGGTTGGGGAGCAGCATGTTATACAGGTAGTCACAGATAATGCTGCTCCTAATGTTGTTGCCACGAATTTGTTGCGCATGGGCTACACCCTCATATCTTTTGAACATCATGCACAATACACTGCATAGACCTCAATATGCATTTTTTTACAGTGTATGGAGTATGGAGTGTATGGACTATGGATGGACAATGTGTTATGCGTTCGTAATGTGTTATGCTTCAATATGCCTTTTTTACACAGAATTTGGACCTAAAATAGTTGGATCAGACACCTCCTACCCACTTTGCAACAAACTACTTGGCTGTGGAGTCTATTTTGCAGTTGCAAATCGCTTTGAAGAGGTTGTTTACTTTTGAAGAGTGGGGGAAAGACTGCCTCTCAAGGTTCCCCGAGGGAGTGAAATTAGAGGGCATGGTCATTGATAAGAGGGTCTAGTCTAGGTGTGCCAACACCATGGAGGCTACAACTGCTTTTGTGGCATTGTTGAGGATGGTGGATGCTGACAAGAAAGCCACCATGAAGGTCCTCTATGAATGGATTGAAAGGGCAAATAGGCGGCTATTCGAGAGAAGTTCAATTTTGCAAACAAAGTGGTGGAGATCGTTGAGAGAATGTGGAATGAGCAGTTAGGCAAACCAGTTCACTGTGTAGGTAAATACTTATTTATACATTTAGAAGTTTAAATATTTGAATGTGTCATCATTGTGAGGAAAAATGGTCTCTCTATCTTCGTGTTGTCTAAGTTTTTATTTCCACCCCAAATATTTATATTCGACGCTTATTACTCCCAACAAGGTCATATAAGGGTGTGAGATACATTATTGGAAGATTGGAGAGAAGCCATAGGAGCCAACTAGAGGCACTGAGGGAGGTAAGAGTTAAGGAATTTCATATATTGAGTACATTTGTGAGTTTTCTTTGAAGCGCTAAAGCTTGTTTTTCTTAGGGATACGAAAGGTATTTCACAACTAGACTTGCTAAGTCTTCTAGCAATGCAATGGATCCAGGTTATCTCTTAACTAATTATGCGTTCTTTCACACTTTCAGATTATAAGATTTTTTGATCCTTTCTTACCAGGCCCTTTGGGTTTTATTTCAGCTGAATGTTGGCAATAAATGCTTGTGACATAACTTAATTAAGGAAGATAATAATCAAGGTGCTTTTTTAGACATGTTGAGCTATTTGGTGTGAGCGAAACTGGAGTACATGCTAGTGATTGCATACTCCTAAGTGGAATCAGCTGATTCAAGTGATTGCATAGTACAATTTGAACCTCTGCAAGCGACAAGTAAATAGGAAATTTGAGGACTATGACCTAATCGACCTATATGCAATATTTGTCGTAGATATGCTGAGGAGTGGCTGGTGGAAGAGGAGAAGCCAATGGTAAGTGAAAGAGCATTCCTTGAGGCAATTGTTGAGGAAGATGTTGAAGAAGGTGTGGACGAGTAGGGAGGAGGAGGTGACCCACCAGTATTTGTGCGATTCATAGGAGATATAAGCGGTATGTACTTGTTGAGGATAGAGGGGGAAGGAGATGGAACCGGGGGGGGGGGGATGTGATTGGAGAGAAAATGATTCTGATGCTACTTTGGGGATTTCTGGCAAGTAGAGCGGTTTACCATGCTTGATTCATTGATGAAGCCCTTGAGCGGGTATAATTAGCTTATGCTAACGAGTCTAAACCCCTAGACTAATACATCAATTGGCTTAATGATTTGTCTCAACAATTCAATCAACAAAATCAGTGTAATAAAGAGGAAGAAAGCGTCATCTTTTGTTTTGCTATTAGGATTTAACTTCATAATTTCCTGCTCCATTTTGGATCATGTGTTCATAATTATGACAATTGTATACTCTATTTTGATTGTGAATGAATGCAATTGTCAACAAATACTCAAACTGGAAATGCCCTCTCAATCATCATCGTCAAAGCCTTTTCCCAACTAATTGGGGTGGCTACACGAATCCTGTTCCATCATTTTGCTCTATGAAGGGTCATACCCTCAGTGAGGCCATAAGTCCCCATATCTTTTCTCACATACAGTAGGTTCAGGATTCGTGATGAGTTTTGGCAAAGTCTTACGTTGGTTGCCTACCTAACACAACCCAGTTCCTTCACTTGGGCATGGGACGGATTAAGGGAAAGTTTAAAGTCCTCATACTTCTTAGACTAGGAAATTCCCTCTCAATATTCATGTATTTTTGCAAAATAATGAAAATCTATAATGCAATACCCCCATGTTTGTTTTTTTGGAAACCCAAAAAACAATGTTCATGGAAAATTTAAAAAAAAAAATTGATCTTTTTTAAGACCGAGGCGGCCCCATCCCGACGATCCACCAATCTAGATTGCTAATTTGAACCAGTTTCCAAGATGGCTGATTCACCTGGCCGATCCAAATTTTTAAACATTGATTAGCATGAACACTGTTTTTGAAAAAATTGGTGGATTAAGGGTAAATGTTGTCTGTTGCAATGAAGTGATAAAAAGTACTCAATAGACCAATATTAGCAAAAGGACACGGTTTCTATGCGGCCAGCTCACATATTGTAGAAATGCTGGCTTGGCAATAAATATATTTTTTATATATAATTTGATCTTAATTTTTAGGGAATATATAATCTTTAATATGGAGATCATGAATATGAAAAGAGTAATGATCCTATGAGACCCTCCCACACCCATGTTTGTAGGACCCCAAAGGATCACCGGTAAATTTGGCATAGATTTCTAAAAATTTATCACATAGGTGTGGGACTTGACTTTGATATCTGTGCCAAATTTAGTGGTGATCCTTTGGGGTCCTACACAAATGGGTGTGGGAGGGTCGCACAAGGTCATTTCGCATATGAAAAATACAATAAAATTGAAAACTAGAAATAATAATTATAGTAAAGAAACATTAGGACCATTAGTTACACTTGTTTTTAGGTGGATCACCTATTTGCATCCATCTTTAAGATGGATGCTTTATACCTTTGGACCGCATATTGTAGAAATGTGGTCCAGCCCGCATGAAACAATTTTCCTTAGCAAAATCATTGCCATTCTGACTATCAGGATTGAAGATTGTTGATTCCTTTTTACTTGAACATTGCTTGGGGATCTAATTGTAATGAGTTGGCTAAAAATCAAACAGTAAAGTGCTAATTGGTTGGCTGTGTCATGACAAAAGGCTCTTTCTGCTAGCACTGGCGATCCTTGCTAGTTATATGCAATGGATGGACAGAAGCGAGATTATCTTTGAAGAGTTGCACACATACTCTGGAGTTGTGTGGTTCATAGGCAATTCAGAGGTACTAATCCTAAAAATTCAGGTTGTGTTCACAATATTTTGATCAGGTGTCACAATAAGCAATCTTTTTGGATCAGATACAATATGCTTATATTTGGTTGTATGACTTTTATCTAAGTGAATATCTGTCTGTTTTTGTCACCATTGGAAAATCACTTTTTGATTTTTGATGCTTTTCTTGATACTAAATGATAAGATGACTATCTTGGAGTTTTATTTAGTTTTTTTTGGTTCTTCTAGATATCTTTTTTGTGGTTTCTTTTCTGTACATAGATCTCTTGAGATGTTCCTATATTTTGAATTTTAGGTTCAGGATTGCTAAAGAAAAAAGGATTGAAAGGCTCCTTTGCAGATGCTGGTTCATCTGCCAAGGTGAGTTGATGAAATTGTAGCAATCTTTCTGGTTCCGAAGTTGTCTTTTTATTAGGCGCTCTCCTTATTAATCTTTTTGTAATTGGATGAAGAACTTACTGCTTGTTCAATAAAATCTCCATTGCATGTACATGCGTAGACCTTTGCCGTTTTATCAGGAGTTCACAGCCTTGTTGTTTGCTGCTTGAAAAGGCTGCGAGGAAAGGATGATGGTAGGATCCTCTTTTGCCTTTTCGAACTCTCTCATCAAGACGTATCATGCTCTGGGAATAATTTATTCTCCTATCTACAGTGATCAATGCAGGTGTAGCGGGATGCATGACAGGTCTTGCTCTTAGTTTCCCAGGTAAACGCATTTCCCAGAATTAATGTGCTCTCTCTCTCTCTCTCTCTCTCTCTCTCTCTCTACGTACGTACGTAC